CCCCAAAACCCCAAAACCCCAAAACCCCAAAACCCCGAGATGGAATGATGCAGTTGAAATTATTGATTAGCTCTTTTGTTTCTTAAGAACTCCAAAACTGGTAATGCAACCTCTTCATAAGAGCTGTCAGCCCAAATGTAATCAAGGTGGTCGTAATCTTTAACCACCTTGTAGCTCAAAGTTGTACCTAATTTAAAGGCGAGAACATCGAGGAGCTTATCAAAATCTTCTTGTGCTACAAATACATCAATGCTACCTCTGACCAAGAACATATCGAGATCCTTAATATTCTCCTTTAAAACTTCGATATCATAAAGAGGAGAATCTTCTTGACCATAAACTCTAAGATTTTCTTCTTTACCATAATCGTATCTGGCAAAATTACCTGTGACAACCATCTGAAGCCAATGCATCATATTCTGTAGGTTTGTGCCTCCAGGCTCATGTCTTCCCATTACAGGCATTCTGCTGAGGTCTACCGATACCTCTTTCTTTAAACCAACAATCATTTGAATAAATCTAAAAACAGTTTTTCTGAGAGGCCTCACAATAGATTTCAAACTAACATTGACAATTGTTGGCCATATCAAGAGGTTATTGAAATCTAGCCATTTTAAAAGAGTACTAACTCCTGATACTTTAAGGAGAGTTATGATGGGAGATCTCTGATTCTCAACGTACATAACAGGCCCTAAGCCAACGAAAGCGTCTACCTTAGAAGCAATGTTCTTAATAGAGTTTCCAGCAAAGAATTGGATTGTTCCTTGTGAATGGCCAATGTAGGTAAGCTTTTTGTTTTCTGTATAGTCAAGGATATAGTCAATGTTAGAAGGAAGATCATAATAGCCCATGCTATCAAAGGTGAAATTCCAATATTTGCTGTGCATATCAAACACAGAATACTCCTTTGGATTTGTATGCTCAAAAGAATTAAAATTTCCTCTTGTATTAGTAATCCAAACGTCGTAGCCTTCATTACATAAAAGTATTGGAAGACTTTGGTTGGAAAAGCCTACAGTAAAAGTACCACTATTATCAAGAAGTCCATGCTGAAGCATGACTGCAGGTTTCCCAGAGATATCTTTGAATGACTCTGTTAATTTCCCAGGTACTCTCCATGCACTAAGAATATATCCATCTTCAGTTACAATTTTATGTTGTTCAAATCTGTATCCATAACTTTGATAAAACTCTGCAGGAGATTTGTAAGCATCATCTGTAAGCTCAGGAGTTTTGTAATAAAGATCTTCTATAAGCCCGGAAACTACTCTGAAGGAGCCAATAGCAAGATCTTTAACCAACTCAATGTTTGAGTACTTTGCAGTAGCAAATCCTAGCCATAAGGATATGAATAGGATGGGAAGAATATTAATTTTCATTTATATAATTCTTATTCGATATATTTTTTAATCTAAGGGGTTTTGGGGTTTTGGGGTTTTGGGGTTTTGGGG